TTCCACCAGCAGAGCAAACTCCCTGAGAAAACACTCAGCAAGAAAACCGGACTTTGGGCTTCTCAATGCCCTCCATGAAGGCAATAAAGATCGTAAGGCTACTACTACTGAGACAAAGGCTCTGCACTTGTCAGAGCGGTGGCAACAACATGCCTTGGAGTCTACCCTCCTCCTGTTACCACCGTGGGAATACACACTTTCTGTAATCATTCCATCCCATTCATTTCCAAGATTCTGCCCAAGGACTAACCCTCAGTTGTTGCCATTTGCAACTAACTGGACCTCAACTTCCCCTCTCTGCTCCAGATCCTTTTTCCAATTCCACTGTGTCTGCCCTCTGTGAACTAAATCAGCCAGGCTCCCTTATTTCCTGGTTTCTAGCTGGGCTGAACCAAATGGAAGCTCCTGGAGGTAATTAGAGGGTAGGAAAAGTATTCGATTCCTTTCCTGCCGGACCACTGGTTTTAGTGGCTACAATCCAACAGACTATCAACTCTTCATGTGAACTCCTGCAAATTTCCAGACATTACTCCCTCCCTTCCCCTCTGAGGTCTAAGAGTGGTACAGGCTCTCCAGGTGCTGGCTCTGGGATGTTTCATCATCCCTTTGGTTTCTCTTAAGCCTGCCCAGCCTTGGCGATGGTCCCTCGATACCCTCAACCATCCTGCTACAATGTGCCACTTGGCTGATGTATCTAACACTCCACACTCAGCTTTCCCTCTTCCACCTTCCCAGGGGGCTGCTATCTCCCCTCAGCCCCACCCTCCGGTTCTTCTCTCAGTAATTGAGTGCTGTATGTTTACACATACAGACTGCCTCATAACAAATCAATTCCCTGTGGAAAATTCTTAAGCCCAGGCTGATTCCCAATTCTGCCACCGATGTGTATAAATTGTATGTAATATTAGACTGGGCAACGCCTAATTAAGAAGGCAAATGCTACTAAAAATTCCTGTCACATAGGCTAGAAAGCTAAGTCAAATACTGGGATTTGGACTTTATAACTTCCCTAAAGACTAATTTATTACAGCTCTGTTCCATTTATAAGATTAGAACATTGCCAAATATAATGCTCGCCCTACAACAGCCACTTATAAAAGTTCAGATGTCTTCTCTGGCAATCTCCCACACACTGCCTTTCTTCTAGCTAATCCTACAAACAAGACACAAGAGCCAAATGACAGAAATGAACTTTTTTTTTTTTAGAAATGAGTTTTTAATGAACTCAACATTTCAGTTTATTGCTTAACCCTCATGTGACATCAGAAAGAAAACATTTCAGAAAAAGATCTGAAGGTCAAAGATAAAGCTCAGAGACCTGGAAAGATCTGATGTTTGAATCAAAAACCAAGGCTAATGAGGTTTGCTAGATTCAAATCAAGAAAAGAGTGCGACCAAAACGTTGAAAAGGAAGCATCTTCTAAGAATTTTGCTCTTCCTGCAGATCTTGCTACACACTAACCAAAGCAGTAGAGCTTGATTCATGGGCAAGATGACCCTCAGGAACACCCTAAAGACCCAAGAAACTCTAAGAAAAAACTCATTTCCCTATCCACAGGAAAGCACAAACTATTTAGACACACACTTATCTATGTCAAGGAACCACAGATCAGGGTTCCCCAACCTTGATACTACTGACATTGTAAGCCACATCATTCTGGGTTGTAGGGGACGGTACACACTGCAGGATGTCTGGCTGCATTCCTGACCTCTAACCAGTAGAACTCCTCAAGTATTCAGACCGAAAGTGTCTGCGAGATTGCCAAAGATCTCTGTGGAACAAAACTACTCCCAGCTGCAAACCACTGCCTTAGATAAGCAATGATCACTCAAACCCCACCCAGTACTACCTGGCCACCTACACTACCACTGATTGGCTGTGAATACCAACTAATATTCATCCTTGGGTAGGGAAAGAGAAAAGTCACTTTACTTAGCAATTTGCAAAGTGATCAGACCTCCTGGCACTGAGAAGAATATGGAAGGAAAGAAAGTTGCCAAAGCAGAGAAAGGCTGCTCCCCAGTTGCCCAATTTGAATTCACTCTGAAAGCATCACAGCTCTCAGCAAATGAACATACTCCTTTTATTGCTCTTGAGACACAAGTAAGAAGTATCACAGTGCCACCATGTCACACACAAGCAAAAGGAAAAAGCCAGGCAAACCACCCTAATTGAATGAGTACAAAACTGAGATCAGAAACACACTACCCAAATTCCTAAGCTCCCTGGTCTGGATTCAAAGCCTCATTATTTATGGATTCCAGGTGATCTTCACGGTTTCTCTCACAGCACGCTGTCAGCCCTACCAGACCCAACACTCTCTTCTTATACCCCATTATACACAAACTCTGTTCCACCTGGCACAATGGTCAGTAAGTTCAGTCCCCACCAGAACACAGCCCAGAGCAGTATCCCAAGAGGGGTAGGAGAGACAGATTGAAGTTTAGATCAGCTAAGGTAGGACCCAGCTTTACCACTTAATTGCTATGGTACCTGATATAAATCTAGCTTTTCCTCTATTAAAGGAAAATGCTAGCACATTTTTCAAAAGGTTTTTGGGAAAATTAAGTGAATACGTAGGTTATCTACTTCTGCACCCAACATGTAATACATGCTCAATAAAACAAGAAGCATGTACAATCCTCAGTTCAATATACAGCACTACAAAAATCAAGAAGTAACACTCAAGGAACAGACAGTAGCTTTTCCAGTGAAAGAATTTCATGCAACTTGTGTGTTGTCTTCAGAAAACGATGACCATTGCAGGGCACCCAAATCTACACCTTTATAACTGAATCATAATAGCAACAAGCAAAGCAACACCTTTAACTATTCTAGATGATGAGGTGAGAAGATGAAAGGTATGTATTTCGAAGCTAAACTGATTCCAAAGTTAATATACTGAATAAATTCAATGTTCAGGCTATGTAAGTGCATACACTCCTGAAGAAAGAAACATAACTCTGTATATAAATAAATATAGGATCTATGAATTACACAAACACACAAATCTATAAAAGGAAAACCAGAAACTGTCACTCATTAAAACCATTAAAACTCGGCAATGCTAACGGGTCATCTCAGGATGATGTAATTATTGCCAAAGGGGTGGGAAGACTCTAAGAGGTAGACTTGTTTCCCTTCCTGATTTATTGACAAAAATGCTCTTAAAATAAAAATTTTAAATTATGTAAGACTATTTATTACCTGCTGGAAATCTGTGAAATTTGGGGCAAGAATCTATTCTAGACAAACTTGTCGCTAGACTCTATGGATAAAGCAAGTAGTCCTCTACCTCTGACACACAACCTCAAATCATCCTTGCCCCAACCCTGCACTAAAAGGAATCACAACTTACTCTCCCTCTTCTTTATGTTTCCTGCAACCTTACAGGTGTTGCCATTACAGGAAGTCAGCACTGGTATAAGAAAGCAACATTACTTGTTTTAGCCAACTTCTGAACAACAACAGTCAATTCTCTGGGACAGTGAGGTGAAAAAGATAGAAAATATTCTTAAATTGCTGATATTGCAAAATGAGGTATTAGACTCAGAGAAGGGACTTATTAAACAAAAACTAAACCCAACTACTTTTTCTGTACCCTTATTTGAAAGATGCAGGTTTCGCATAATTTTCACACTACAGATTCTACACAGAAATTTCTTAAACTATCCAGAAGTCATCTCAAAATGACTCACAGTGTGTTCATTAAGGTGAAGGCAGGTTGGCCCGAGTTGTTGCCTGGCTGAAGTCATTTAAGAAATTTTGGACGTGCTATAAGGTTTGGGTTTACTGCATGTGGATATCCAGTTGTTCCAGTATATTTATTGAGGGTACAATCCTTTCTCCACTTCATTGCTTTTGCATCTTTGCCAGAAATCAATTGTCTGTTACGTGGGTATCTATTTTAGGACTTTATATTGGTACTTTGGTGGTTTGTCTATCTTGATATCAGTGCCTTTTTGTCATGACTGGTGATAAATTATGGGACTGGGAAGGGTTGGAGCTCTAATTTTGTTCCTTTATCAAAGCTGTTTAGACTATTCTGAGTCTTTTATTTTTACAGAAATTAAGAATCAAAATGTTAACCTATATGAAAAATGATGTTGACCATCTGATAAGGGATTGTGTCTTCTGATCTTTATTATTTTCTTCCATTTGTCTTTGACATCATTCTTTTTTTTTTTTTTTTTGTCTTTTTCCTTTTTATCGGTACCAGGGATCGAACTCACGACTGCCTGCTTGCAAGGCAGGCGCTTGTGCCGCTGAGCTAAATCCCCAGCTCCTCATTCTTTTATTTTTAATAAAAAAAATCAAGTGTGGTAAAACACACATAACATAAAATGTATCATCTTAACTATTGAAAATAAAGATTCTACACAGAATTTAAACTGTCACTGTGTAACTGCTAAGTTATTTTCCCTACTTTGTGGAAACAAACAACACATAAAAACATCAGGAAGAGAGAAAACAGGATCCTTAAAACCAAGAAACAAACAAACAAAAAAACCCTTAAATTCGGACTAGTTCAACAAGCATCTGTCAAGCACTTAAAACAGAGCACTATAGAAGGTAATTTATTCCCTCCTAAACAAATAAGACATGAAATCTGTGCCTCCCTGGGAATCCTACCTCTAGAAGACAAGTACTTATACACGAATATGTATAAGAGGTAAAATGCAAGAATTTTGAAAAGCATTCTGGAAGAATTTTTAAGTTCTATACACTGTGTATTTAACTCAAGCATGTAATGCATTCTGATTGATCATCAAAAAGATGGTAGAGATGCTCTTCTGACAAAAGCCAGCATCAGAGATAAAACTGCTACAAAGAGATGCTTTTAGGAAGGAGAGTTTTTTTGAGACAGGGTCTCACTATGTAGTTGAGATTGGCCTAAGCAGCCCAGACTCGCCTGGAACTCAAAATGATCCTCCGGATCCTTTGGACTAAAAATAAATCTTAAAGGTCCAGGGCGTTCAGACGTCTGAAAAAGACTCACCAACATCAGAAGGTCTGTACTAAGCATCTTCCTTTTCCGACGTTCTCTCGGTTCCCCCTTTTTTTCAGCGTCTATAAAAGAAAACAGGTTTGTTTACTTCTAAGGCTTTAAACTGTCTCCACAGCCCGCCTAGATTCGCCACAGCAGCCCAGACAGGGGTGCGCCCCCCGCCTTGGAAGACTCAGATTTCACTCCCAGAAACTGTATCTCGCTCCACTCCAAACCAGAACATCGCAATTCCGCTGCAACTGTTTTCCCTCGCTCGTAGGACTAGCCGGGACCCACACACAGGTAGCTGCTAGGGAACACGCCCCACTGTCTCCGAGCCCGAGGTCCCCGGTTCCCCTTACCGGCCCGGGATCAGATGCTGAGGCACTGATCCAGGGTGCATTTCCCCCCGCAACCCCGGTTCCCGTCTTGGGACCAGTGAGCCAGGCGCACTCCGCACTCTGACCGCGCCGGGCGCCTGGGACTCCAACCCCACTCGGTCCTTGGGCCTCGCGCTGCCGGCGCCCCGACCCGCCTCTTCCCCGCCCTCTTCAACCTCAGCTCGAACCCGCGGCGGCCCTTCCACCTCCTCAGACCGGAACCAGCAGGCCCGCTCCTTCCAGCGGTCGCGCTTCCTCCCGAGCAGCACCAGCTTCCGCGTCTCCTCCTCAGCGTGCAACTGATCCGCAGGCCGCCAACCCTGCCGCTCCCACTACAGCCACCACCACCCCCACTCCACAGGCACTGCAGAGATTGGAGGTGGTGCCGCCGCCGGCCCCGCCCCTCCCGGAAGTGGCACCCTCAGCGCCGGCGTGCAAGTCCCCGCCGCTACGGTCGCGCGCACGTTCCGGCCGACGCGCGGCCCACCGCGGCTCGGGGCCTACAGCGCTTGCGCGCCGCCTGCTGGCCGCGCAGGGCCTCCCGGCCCCTCCAGGAAAGGTCTCTGCGGTCCGACTTGAGGCTGCACTCACCCAGGACAGTTACCACACTTCCCTTTCAAACTACCTTTCTCAAAAGCCGAGAATTTATTATGTGCATGTAGCAACCGCTCACCACGGATGTAAACATTATGTACGTTAAACATGTACTAATAAACAAATTTTAGAAATTAAGTTCTGGTCACAGTAGGTCACTTCGGAACCACTGACAAAGTCGGTAATCAAACTGACCAACTGATCCAAACAGGCACCCGGCCTGGGCCCCTAGAGGAGGGTTTTGAGACTTTGAATGAGTGACTGTGATATTTGCCCCTTGTTTCTCTGCTAGGCAGAGAATTTTTCCATCAAAGTCCATGGGAAACAAAGAAAAGTAGCTTGTAAACTTGTTTAATGGAAACAGCATCGTAGCCTCCCCAATCCCTACCAAAAAAAAAAAAAAATTAGAAATGGCAGGTGTTGGCAAAATGCTACATATTTTCACAAGTGATGTTGGGAACTAATATTGGAGAGGAGGCCCACCAGGGCCACAAAAGATACCTTTAATTTCCAGGATTAAAAGAAAACTAGCCCTCAAATAGATTTTCCATGACTTCCCTGTGAGATCTTAGCACTTGTGGAAATAGAAAACAACATGATTGTATCAGTGACCTGAATTACCGTAGTATGTTTTGTCAGTAGATTTTAAACATGGATTTAAATACCTACACAGAAACCCAAGCCTCCAAACAAATGTCACCAATGAAGGTAACCTGTTCCATCACTACCCTCATCCTTATCTGGTGTTTTTAAAGTGAAATGTCCTCCTTTGTCAGTATGTCTCAGTTTCACAGCCAAAATGCTTATAGCCCTGAAGAAGTTTATCTCTGGTCTCCTTCACCCCCACCTCATCAGAAGTCCTGGACATCTCTGCCACCCAGAGCCCTTGAATCAGGCATTGACACCCCCATACCCTCACCCCTTGCAGTGCTGTTTCCCAGCAAATTTGCCTTCTCGGTGTTGTGAGTTCAGAAGATGTTTGGGGACCTCCTAGCAAGTCTACTGATCAGGAAGCACCTGGGTGTGCCCTTCACATACTTACCTCCCATCCCCTATTTAGATAATGGGATTCAAATCTCCAAGTTTATCTCAAAGTTTACTTCTTTATCAGTTCCCTTAGCTACCTTAGCAGCCTTCAATCTAGAATCTGTGCATACAGATGGCTGGAGTGCAGAGCTTCCTGCACCCTCCCTCCGGGTAGGCAGTCCAGTGCTTCACAGAAGCATAAACCAGTTCAGCTGTGTTGACTGACCTCACTTTGACAAGAACTATGCCAGGCACTTACATGTGCAAAGCCCTGTTTATATCCTGATTTGCCCAGACCAGCTGACTCTCATCTCATCATGCCCCCCAAACTGGTAAACAAGGGCCCCACAAAGAGAGGTAACAGGCCCAGAGAGGGATACAAGTCCTGACCATTTCTAGCAGAGCTCAGATTGCAGCATGGAGGTCTGTACTTGCAACTGTGAGTCCCTGAAGTTCTCTCTCTCTCTCTCTCTCTCTCTCTCTCTCTCCCCCTTTCCTTCACCTCACTCTGTGTGTGTGTGTGTGTGTGTGTGTGTGTGAGAGAGAGAGAGAGAGAGACAGAGACAGAGACAGAGACAGAGAAACAGAGACAGAGAAAGAGGGAGAGACAGAGGCAGAATTCAGGCTTTGCGACCCTATTTCCCAGTCTGCTGTTTTTGGAACATCAGCAGGATTTAGATGGCTGGTAGGAGGCAGAGGTGAGGTTGCCTGGAGCTTCTATAAGAAAAGTGTGGTTTTCCAAGAGCAGTTTTAGTGGCATTGGGAAGCTTGTTAGAAAAGCAGGCTTTGGGCCTGAGGATATAGCTCAGCGGCGCAGCACTTACCTGGCAAGCAAAAGCACAAGGTTGTGTGTTTGATTCCCAGTACTGAGAGAGGAGAGAGAGAGAAAGAGAGAGAGAAGAAATGCAGGGTTTGGGAACTCCAATAAAGACTTCCTGAATCAGAATCTATATTCTAACAACCCTATTGATAGAAAAGGCACAATTTCATTATGAGTATGTATGTTTAGATACTCTAAGAAGGTTAAGAAAACAAAATACATGTGTGAGGGAGCAACTACTGCTATCTAAATTGTTCTTCTGTATCATCGTGGCACCTTCCACAATGACAAGAGAGTGGCAGGGATTAGAAGTGGCTGCAAGGAACCAAGGACGAAGAGGAAGTCCTGCTGCTTAGAGATGCTGTGGAGCACTGGGAGCGGGGTAGAAAAGTGCTCTGGGGCTTCCCACTGTGGCTTCTCAGAGGATTTCACTTCCATGTCTGCGTCTACCGAATGTTAAAACCACTCATGCCAGCAAATCTGGTTTTGCTTAAAATGGTACCCACTTATGGCCAAATCAAATGACAATCCTTCCCACTCCAAAAAATGCAGGAACTCAGGCTGGGGATTTAGCATAAGCATCTTTCAAGTGCACAGTTGTGAGTTTGATCCCTGGTACCAAAAAAAAAAAAAAAAAAAATGCAGGAACTCCTCATGTCCCCACTCCTGTTTCTGACACCAACTCAACCAAGGACCATCTTTGGAAGTTTACCTTAGGACAGCTGTGGGCAGATCTGAGGAACTGGCAGCTTCGAAGCCCGCGTGGAAAGGCGGGGCCATGAGAGTGTCCCCTGTAGGAAGCCATGCAACAGCCATGGAACCCCAGCAAGAATGGAAAACCAGTGAGTGGTGCCAACAGCCAGCTGGGCAGGTTGTGGCAGAACTGGCCACCAAGGAGGAAGAAGACTGAAGACTTTGAGGCACATGAGCATCACAGAGAAAGCAGGGTTCAGCACAGTGAGCCGAGGGGCAATGAGCCACTGCGTTTTCATGCAACATGGTGCCAGTTCCCAAAATCGAATGGCCTCGACATCCGAGATCAGAGACTTCCTCCATGGAAGCTCCACCCTCCCCAGAGGCACTCTTGCAATCGCTTTCAGTGAAACATCAAAAACAGAGCGGTTTGTATCAAAAACCAAACAAATTCAAACTTCCTTTAGCAGAAGGAAACCAGCAGGGAGCTGAGATGACAGAAGAGCTTTGAAGGCAAAGGGAGTGGTCTCTACTCAGAGATCACTGTGGTCCTCAGCATGTTTGCTTGCCAGATTTTAAAGCCATTTTATCCATGTATTTAAAGTCCGTGTGCTCCAATAATTAAGATCATTTGGATCTTACAAATGGCATTCTGATTAATCCACATTTTACATCCTACAAGGCACTGGCAACCAGCTTGGCGATTCCCACTAATTTCATTGTCATCTTACCCAGTTTCTTCCTTCACCAACACTGAGTTATTTTCCTTCCCTCCAGGCAGGCAGATGGGAGAAGCAGGCACAGCCTTGGTTGTCAATGGTTTCTCCATCCTTTGATGTGAAAAGGCAACACAGTTATTTAAAACTTGATCTACCCTTTGTATTTCACAAAGTCAAACAGCTAAAAGAAGGAAAATAAGAAGGCAAAGCTTGCAGAATGAGCAGTGCCTACTGGCCTTCTGCCTTCTCCTGCCCCCTAATTTTTCACAGCTAATTTTTCTCTTGCATTTCTGTCTTCAATTTCAACTCTCCAAATGTCTCCATCTCTGCCTTATTGGGTTTATCTTATGAGCCTGCAGGAAAGCAGAATAGGGTGCAGGCAAGTTGTTTTAACTGTTGGAGCTGGCCTTCCGTCCTTGTAAAATGAGAGTTCTTAATATCTTGCTTAGGCCTGTTACAATTGTACCCACACCTGTGGGGCCTAGCCCCATAGAACTACTGTCCAGTAGCTCCAGGTTTTCACCCTCAGATTTGTGATAAGCCCAGTCCAGCTGCCACTTTGGTGGAGATCTTCATCCCCAACAAGATGACTGATCTTTCTAGGTGATCCTCTGTTATCTAAAGGCACCCCAGCCTTTTGTGGGGCTTATCTGAGACTGACCACAGTCCTACTGTTTATCCACAGGCTTTGTTACTTGTAGATCAGTTAACTCCCAAACCAACCAGATACCACACTGGTCTGCACCTCTGCCTCTACTGACCTGCATACCAAGCTATTTGTTCCTTTCTCTGGCTGCACTGGCCTTCTTGTTACCACCACTGGCCTGGGCTTATGCAGTTTGTCCAGCTGGAGCATATGTCTAGTGAATGTGTGTTTTCTAATATAGATATAAAACTATCATGCAGGAAATACATTCTCTCTACTCTCTGAAGTTTCAATAATTTATGCATGAATTAAACTGACAGCAGACAGATTAACAGGAGAGATACTGTTATGGTTTGTGTTTGGATGTTTCCCCAAAGCCTCATGCAGTCATGGAAGTGGATGAATCTAGCATTTGTTATCTAGCACTGGGATTGGCAGTGTAAGTGTTGCACCTTCACAGAGGCAGGTAGCTGGCATATAATACAAGGGAGGGAAAGAGGTGTGCTTTTCCCTTTTACTCCTGTTGCTAACTGCCACCATGAAAGGTGACCCTCAGCTATGTCACTCTGCCTTGGAACCAGCTGAGTATGGACTGAAACCTTCAAAAGATGTAAACTAAATAAACTTTTCCTTCCTTCATTCTGGGCATCCGGTATTTTGTCTCAGCAACGAGAAAAAAGTAACCAAAAGAGATACAATATAAATGTATTATGTGCTTAAGCGCCAGAGTCCCACAAAATGTAGGACTCAAAGAAAGCCAGATAATTGAAGTGTATATGGCATTCTGATCTATAGAAATGAAAAAAGGGCTTGGGGGTTTCTGGAGGGACAGTGGATAACATAGGATGTGGCAGGGGAAGGAATATGTGTTGAA